CTTGGTAGCCCAGGCTGGCCTCGAACTCACAGAGATCCGCCTGCCTCTGCCTCCCGAGTGCTGGGATTAAAGGCGTGCGCCACCACCGCCCGGCTGGACAAGGCTTTTTAAGCTTTACAAAATATCAAGGAGAGGTCATGTAGCATCAGGGAACTCAGTCTAGTAATACAGATAATATAAATGATCAAAGAATTTAGATTCTGCTGGGGTGGAGATGGGGAGTGGCGAATGCCTTTCAGCACTTGGGAGGCAGAGGCAGGAGGATCTCTGTGATTTTTTTCAGATCAGCCTGGTCCACAGAGCGAGGTCCAGGACAGCCAAGACTACACAGAGAAACCCTGTCTCGAAAAACCAAACAAAAAAAAAATTTAGAGTCAAGACAGGGTGCTATAAGTGGATACAGACCTAGGACTGTGAAGCCTAATAACTCCTTTGGGTTTTGTTTTGTTTTGTTTTGGCTTGAATCTTTCTACTTGACCCCAGAGATCATCCTACTTCCTGTACTTTTTAAAACTGCTGTTTTCCGATTTGTTCTCCCTACTTACTATCCCTGTTGTTAAGCCAAAGTTGCTCAGCTTGAGTCCTCAGCACCCCACCCCCATTTGATTAATTTGTGTCTCCATTACTGCTGGGACTGGTGGAAACAAAGTCACAAATACAGGATAGCTACAGAGCTTTAATAAAGAGTTCAATTCTCGTTAGCGTGCTGTCCTACTTATAGTCGCTGATTGCCTTAAACTCAATTTCCTTTTCAGATACAGGATCATTTTATTAACGTTGCTGTCCGCACTGTCTGTCACCACCTAACATGTAAGGAGAATGAAGTGATAGTGCTGGCAAGGTGGCTCAGAGGTGCTTACTGCACAAGCTTGGTGACCTTCATTTGGTTGTTAGAACCAATGTAAATGTGGAAGGAGAGAACCAACTCTACAAAGTTGTCTTCTGGCCTTCACGCTGTGGCAGATGCACCCACCTGCCTACACACAATAATATTAACTTTTTAAAAATTAGAATGGAATTATCAGAATTAGAATTGGGAGTTATTAGACATTAATAAAAGCCATTGCTTAAAAACGAATAATTTGAGTTAAAGAATTGATTCTTGGATCTTAAAAGGTCCAAGAAGCTACATATTCACAGGCATGCCCTAGTAAGCTAGCCATTTAGAAGTTACTAGTTTAGAATTAATGGTTGAGGCTATATGAACTAATAATATCTTTAAGGTCAAGTTGTGTGCGTATTCACATACATATACCCAGGAACCAAACAGCCTAGGAAGTAAGAGTGTGGCAGTGTCATGGAAAGGGTAGTTGATTGGATCCACGACAAGGACTGAGAAAATGGAAACCCAGATGGCTTTGGGGTGGTCTACCTGAACACCTACTTTCTTTGACTGGAGTCCCCCCTAAATTCCATCTTACAGGATGTCACTCGGCGAGGTACTGTGATCTTTTTTCTATGTACTCACAACACTCCGTAGGTGATTTCATCTACTTCTACAGCTTTATAAACTATCTATGTGTGTTCATTTCCCAGCTTAGAGCTCTAGGTCATCTCACTTCTGAGCTTCAGAATCATAAACTCAATTGCTTGCTTGTCTCCAATATTTGATAGGTGTTTCAAAAAGAGAGAGCAGATAGGAATTAGCTGTAGTAACCCAAGATATAGCTTGTACTTGAGAAATTATTACAGGAAGACAGAGTATATCAATTTGAGGAAGATTTTGGAAATGTGATAGAAGCAAAGATGACTTGCTTATTAAGTTGATGAAAAAATGAAAGAAACAGATGACACCTGTACCTCTAGTTTTTGGTCTAAGCATTTATGGTAGATTTTAGGAAAAGACAAGAGGAAGGCAAATCAGAAGAGTTTTGTTATCTTTGTCTCAGTACAGGACACCTCCACATTAGCTCTTGAATACAAACATCTCCGTCTTGACGCTAATCTTTGTAATCTAAGCCGCCATTTGTTGTCTAGACAACTGTAGCTTCTTAACTGGTCTCTTCCCTTCTACTTTTGCTATCTTACGGTATGGAGATTGGAGGAAGCCCTGAGTGAGTGAAGTCCTGAGTGAATGTCTGCAGTTGACATAGACAAAGGCTTGTCAAGGAACATGGCCTCAGACCCATGGGAAAATGGCAGAGTCTCCCTTTCTCACCATTGTTCCCTAAGTGAGGCTCCGAGGGCTGGCAAAGCCTTCTTCTGGTCCAGGTGCATGTATTGATAGTGTGTATGGAAAATGTCCACCATAACGTCCTTCCCCCTCCCCCAAGACATTTATGGCCTGAAGAGTGCATCCCTACAGAGAATGTTCCCATTGAGGTTAGCTGTATACCATAAACCCTGCCTCCTTGTTTATCTGTATGTCATAACCCTGCCTTCTTGTTCAGCTGTATGCAATAACTCTGCCTATCTGTGCTGCATGTAATAAATACACTGAGCTTGTGCAGTGCTGAGGTTTCTCCATCCAAGAGTCCAGACTACCTGATTCCAGCCTTTTGTCTCTGCACATGTTTTATTTCTTCATTCCTTTGCCGCCCCTAGTCAGGGCAAGTCCCTGCAGCCGTGCTGGATGAGGCATTTCAGTCCATTCTCTACAGAGCAACAGTGTAATCCTTAAGAGTAAATCAGTTCTGGGTCAGTCTGTTCAGTACTTAGAGAACCTGTCTGGAAAGATAGGTGTGTAAATCAGTGATGCATGATGAACCCTGGAGAGGTGTCTTGGCCCATTCTTTGAAAGTGCTACCTTTGAAAGTTGTTTCAAATTTCTCTTGCCATCCCATTATCCAGTTTCTCTAAAGATGTTACTCCTGTGCTGTATTATGAAAGAATTTCTTTTAAGCTTTAATCCATTGTCTCAGGTGGCTTAAAACAAAATATTAAGACCTCACCATTCCCTGGTGACTTACTATGAATTCCTGTATATGAGTTAACATGACACTTTTGAAAGAAACAATAGCCATTTTTATTTTGGTTGACAAGTTTGGTATTTTTTCTTTCCTTTCTTGAGATGGGATCTTGTTATATAGCTCAGCCTGTCCTGTAACTCATAATCTTGTCTTCTAGAATGTGTGCACCATCACGCATAGCATTATACATTCTTTAAAAAGCGTTATGTCGCAGGGCGGTGGTGGCACACGCCTTTAATCCCAGCACTCGGGAGGCAGAGCCAGGTGGATCATTGTGAGTTCGAGGCCAGCCTGGGCTACCAAGTGAGTTCCAAGAAAGGCGCAAAGCTACACAGAGAAACCCTGTCTCGAAAAAAACAAAAACAAAACAAAAACAAAAACAAAAAAAGCGTTATGTCCCTGTAACAAGTGGAATGCTTGTGGAAATAGCTTCTACTAAACAAACACCACTGAAAGGCTGCAGAAGAGTTACTGTGCTTCCTTAAGTACCCACTTGTTACCCAGAAGCAATTAAGGCCCTGACCAGAGCCAAGTCCACGGTTATTCTCTTAAGTATTCCTTCTAATAGTTGACTTAATGCTCTTCTTCAAAACAAACTCTACTTGACTTAGTAGAGTGAGACTCTAACCACTTAATATGTTTTTATGGGCAAACTTTTTAAAAAGCCTTTCAACTTTTTGTTTTTATGAGTAAGCTTGGAAATGACGTTAGCCACAAGGAAGGTATATCTTTTCATTTATTCCTTTTTTAATACACACATGCTTTACTTTGAACTCTAAGAAAATATTTTAGTTGTTTTGCAATTGTATAGTCCATACAGCAGAAAGAGCTGTAGGAAAACATTGCATTCATCAAAGACTTCAAAGAAAATCATGGTCAGAGATGAAAAAGGAAGACAGTAGCTGGAGAGACAAGATGCTTATCAAACAGATTCTGGGAGCATATTTATCACAGGATGAAAGAAGAGGAAGCGAGACCTTGCTTGTCATGACCTCTATATATTGCCCTGACTTATATTATTAATGCCATAAATACATGGGAGGCATGTTTACAGACAGCACAAGCCTAACAAATAATGAAATGTAGTATGCAAAAGTGGCTAAGCATTAGATTAAGACTGACAATATGAAACTATAGAAATGAAATGAAGCCTTACAAACTAGGTCTATTTGTCTGTAGGACCAGGTGTGTCCGTACGACTGACCTAGGACATAAGTTACACACATTCTCCAAGTTGTAAGTGTGATATAACTGCCAAGAAGAGAATGTGCTCTTTTTTTTTTTTTTTTTTTTTTTTTTTGTTGGAGCTGAGGACCGAACCCAGGGCCTTGCGCTCTACCACTGAGCTAAATCCCCAACCCGAGATGTGCTCTTTGAGAGCAGGGATTATGTCTGGGATCTCATGCTTGAACTTCAGCCTTTTTTTTTTTTTTTT